CATCCGGATCTAGATTACGTTGTTGTTAAAGGTCAGACATTCTTCATTTTCTATTTTCCAATTGCCTTGTAGTTATCCCAGAGTGATTAGCGCTCCTTGAATTGCATTTCGTTTTGAATTTCGTTCAGATCCTTCAAATGGAACAGAATACGTTGTGTTAGAGGAACGCTTGTTTGAGTTGAAAAATGATAAACTGGAAGTTCTTGAGAAGGTCAGATTTCACGAATGTTGCAAGAGAAAAGTTTACAATTGTTTTTTCTAATTTGCTTTTTCTACAGGTCAAAGGGCGCGTCTTTGAAGGGAAAACGTATCAGCCACTGTTCCCGTATTTCACATACATGAAAGCTGAAATGGGAGCATTCCGAGTTCTCTGCAATACATTTGTTACCACCGATCAGGGTACTGGTATTGTACATCAAGCTCCATACTTTGGAGAAGTGAGCGCTTTTATAAGAATTCAATATCCTATCGATTGATAGCCTATTTTATGAGGTTTTGGTTCTGTATGCTGCTCAATATCGGATTCTTATCAATGTTCTTAGTTACTTTAATCCGCTTTCAGATTGATTACCAAACCTGCCTTGAAAATGGAATAATCACCAAGGACATGAAGATCATTTGCCCTGTGGATGAAAGTGGACGGTGAGTACAGCGTCGGTGAATCTTTCTGATATTTTTTCCATGTAGAGTAACTATTTGAGGTTCACTGCGGAAGTTAGCGATTTTGCCGGTTTGTATGTAAAGGATGCTGATAAAGCGATTTGTAAGAAATTGAAGGAGAGCGGCAATCTTATCAAGCAGGGAGAGGTACTGACTTCATCCTGTCGCACTTTGCTTTGCCAATTTAGGGATCTTTCAGGTGAAACACTCTTATCCTTTCTGTTGGCGATCGGACACTCCACTCTTGTATAAAGCTGTTCCATCGTGGTTCATTCGCGTAGAACAAATTGTACCGAAACTCCTTGCAAACAATGAACAAACTTACTGGTGAGTTTTCCTGCACGGCCCCTATTAGGATCGTGCGGTTGGCATAGAATTGACGTCGAGGAGGTAGACATCGTAGTCAATGAAACCGTTCTGAGCGACAGTTTGGTATGTTCCGTATCAAAATCTGACATTTCTGATCTGCTTATATTAGTCTGGTTCCGTGACGTCTATTTTCTGAACTTTTTAGTCTCCGTAAAAATTATGTTAAAGGGTTCCGAATTTCGTGAAAGAAAAACGGTTTGCAAACTGGTTACGAGATGCGAGAGATTGGGCCGTATCGCGTAACCGCTTC